AAACAAACCAGATATCGTGTGGTAGGTGATCGACAAAATGTGATGTCTTTATATGCAAATTTTAATGGCCACAACCCGAGGTTGGATTCAGGAGAGCATTCTGGTGATGATCAATGCTGTGAAGGTCGTTGCTAATCTCGTCTTAGCCAGGAAGAAAAAAGGACAAAAGCAACTTATATTATTATGAGGTATTTCGGCATGAAAAGATGCGAGCAATTATGTGAGAATTATATGTTAAGATTTTCGATAGAGCAAAAAATTAATTTGTCACTATCATTACTAAAATTGCGGTTAACTTTATTATTATTATTATTTGTTCTAAGAAAAGGGAGCATGCAGTAGTTTAGGGGGCGAAAGGGTATGGGCGCGCTTATTAAAACAACAACAACAACAACAACAACACCAACAACAACACCAACAACAACAACAACAACAACACCAACACCAACAACAACAACAACAACAACAACAATAATAACAACAACAACAACAACAACAACAACAACAACAACAACAACAACAACAACAACAACAACAACAAGGTATTTATAAATAAAGACGTGATGAAAAAGAGAGCAGAATGGCATAGCGCCACTTCGAAGTGGTCTTTGATAATTGTATAAATTTTTTTAAAATTGTATGTCACAAGTTAACTGAATAAATGGCAATTGCCTAAATAATACTTATAACATTTTGTCTTCATGATTTTAGAGAAACTGCACCAATTACATTCAAATTTATACATTTGTGTGTTTAACCTACGTATTTTGTTGTGACGTGGTACTAACATAAGCTCTAATATCCGAATCTTCACTCTTCCTCGTCTTGGGAGCAATATATGCAGAAGGACTGGCAGTCAACCTTCGTTGTAAATTCCATTCATTAATTTACAAAAGTGAACATCTTGCTTTTCTACCATTCTTTCGGCTAGTTCAAAAGGCTCTATCTACCTAAAGGCAAGTAGAGCACGCAGTTATAAAGGTCATGAAGCCGAATTACATCATATGATCATCCAGAAGACAATATCAGCTATATGGGCTAACTGCATTTCGCAAATGCCGGTGATGCTAATTTTACAAAAAAAAAAATTGAAAAAAAAACCGTGTCAGACAACAACTCTGTATAATGAGTACTACGTATCATGTAGAAAAGTGTCAGCTTAAACAAAGGCACCGTAGCTTCGCTCTCGTTGCCTTACATGTCGTTATTACCAATAAAGTCTCACAAGCAGTTACTTTTAAAAAAAACATTCTGACAACTTTATTTCTATAATACTTCTTTGAGGCAGAACTATACTGTCAACGTATGTAGCGCATTTTGGATGAAATCATAACTATAGACCAGAATTTGCCATGGGTAGTTATTGAGACTTTCGTGTGATCTGGTTGACTTTGGAGAACGGTGCGTCTACTTATACTGAGATAAATGTTCGAATGAATTAATTGCGATCAGTCTCTCCTCGAGAAAGGAGCGCACCTTCTGCACACGCCAACAGCTAACTTATTTAAAAGTAGGCTTTAGATTGTATCACAAAACTTCGTATACGTTGATGGCAGATGTATCCTAACCTTTAACATGCCTAACTATGCATTGGCTAAGCATCGATTCTTCTATGCTTGGCCTAAAAAGAAAAATGTTTTTTCTCTTCAGTTTTATTGAATGACTGGGTTTATCCGCATAAAAAATTTTAGTCGCCCATACAACCCCTATACAGGCTAGCAATGGGCTATATAGGGGTTGTATATAGACCAGGGACTATATGGGC